TTTGCACTTGAATAATGTGTACTCCAAAATCCTTAAGCTCTTTCTTTTGTGGAGAATTTTTCGTTCTCAAGTTGTATACGCCCCCGGTGACTCAACGGCAGGTCTGGGGCGTATAACGCTAAAAAAAAGAGAGGGTTTCAATACCCGTGATGAGCAGAACAAAGACAGCCCATTGTGTAGCTTTATGCTTAACAACAAACAATCAAATCAAGTTGTATGCAAATACTTTATATTATGTATAGCCTGAAACTGAGTTAAATGATAATTTACATTTAGAAATTAAATAAATGTCGATATGTATCCAATTTATGACACTTGCCAACAAGATTGATACACAAAGTTTTTTTTTAATACAAATATATTTTAATATAGAAACAATAACACAATTTACAATAACAGTTATTACCAATGGTCTATGTACAAAAGATTTACAAACAATATTTAGTCCTCTGTCTGGTCTGGACTTCCTCGATATCTTATTGAGGGTTCACGATGAGCAAATTAATTTTGATTGAAGTAGATACAATTCACTTAACATGGAGCTAGCTAACCGATGAAGTTATATAATGTTTTCATAAAAATACTAATGACCGATGTGAATCCACTGAAGTTAATAATATTCGAAATCTATAAACGTTCCTGGTCAAATATCTGAAGTTCCGAATTAATAAGCGTTATAAATATCACAGTTATAGCTTCAGAAATTTATAGTACACCAACTATAGCAAACCAGTAATATATACTGCACTGTGGCGGACTGCTAAAATGCAAGTACAATGAAAACTCATTACGGTTTACATGTGAATATTCTGTCATTTTTTGTTTGTTTGTTGTCGTGAAATCCCATGGACCGGTAAAGTGGTTGGTTGTGACGGACCGTTGGTTGAAAAACACTGCTTTAACTCGTGCAACGTTGTTAAGATGTTAATTGAACCGACTCTCAACTTTTGTTTACAATTGGTGATTCAGTTGTGCTCTAAAAGCTTTGAAAAGTTCAATAACACCGAGCTGCACAAAGTACAGAAAAAATACCATTGGTGTTTGCTGTAGTCGGGCCTACACGAATATCAAACATTCACTGTTAAGGAAACATATTTAAATTATTTAAGTATGTTTAATATATATATATATATATATATATCGGAAACATAGAGAACAACCAATAAAGTCAGCCTTCTTCCACATGATATTACTCCTGTGAATGCATTCTAAGTGAAACAACTGCACACATTTGGTAATGCCAAATAAACGGCTTGTACCGAGTAAAATAGGGTGGTTTTTACATCACGTATTTTATAAGACGATATCTGTTCATAACTCCAATAGTGTGATGGATGTTTTCCTGCTGAGTAGGATAATTCAAAAAATGGCCAACGTTTGAGTGAGGCTGCAAAACTCTTGAAATCATTTTATTAAAAAGCATTGATGGATTTAGATATTGAAACATTGATCCAATTAAAACAGCTTCGAACAGTGGTATATTGATTTGAATAGCTAGTTTATTAGCCACTTGTACAAAATATTTCACTTTCCAAAAAAATACTGGACTCATGACTAACTACACAGTTTCTAGCCTATACAATCAAATTGTTTCCCTGCTACCGGACACTGGATTGACTTACTGAAGTAAGATTATGAGACTTCCAAAAAATTCAGTTACTGTGCTAACTATCGAACTTAATCATAATCGATTTCAAAACCCAAAACTAAAAAAATAAACTAAAATTTCACCAAACGACATTTAACGCATATAGTGTCGTTTCTCAAAAATCATTTTGAATAGATATTTGTGATACAAAGTTTTTCAACAAACAGTAATATATTTAAGATACATGTAGAAAGAAAACATTATTTTATTTGTTCAGAAAAATGTTTTAATAAATTTCTGTAATTATTGCAGGAGAGCAGTACTACTTTTGTGAATATATCGCAGTCCTTGACCATTAATATAATATAATATAATATATATATAATTTACATATCTACAGACTCACGAGATGTATAATTATGTATTATCAGCAACTAGACTTCTGTGCTGATTTTTTTTTATCAAACAGCTAACCCTAATTTACTGAAATGTCGGCACGCTTAAATAAGCCATAACAACTCTTCTTAATATATCACGATTTTATTTTTCATGCGCCTCGAATATTCACGAACAGTAACCTGCTTTAATGTTGCTATATTTACCAGGAGACAAGTTTAACAACATGCTGTGCGATTTAACAGCAACCTACCTGCCTTTAGTTACCGCAGAACTTATTCAACAATACTCTGAATGAATTAACAGTTGCCTTTATTTATCCGAGGACGTTTTGAATGACTTACTACATACTTCAAAAGTCAATGCTCAGCATGCTGGAACGTGCTCGTGACAAGACAAGTAGAATGTGCTTGTTCAGTTATTTTTTATGTTAACGTTCTCTCTCACTCTTTCTTTTTGTAAACACTTCACGTGATATATACATTAAGAATTAGAAATGTTGTGTTTCGTGCGTAACTAGCACCCACGACATTGTACTTTCAAACGTGTGGGCTTTTGTAGTTTATTTCTTAAGCCTTTGTACTATTAGCATGTATCAAAAATGAAAATCGTCATAAAGATAGAAAGAGAAATTAGATTTCAAGACATATTTACATTTTTTGCAATCCCTTTAAAAACTAGTAAGTTTACGATAATAGTTTTAGGTTTTCGTATATTTTATGTTACTGCAGCTACGTGTGTTCTATGTTTCTATTGACATTCATTAAAACTATACATTTAGAACTAGTTAAGAATGTTGATTTCGATATGCCTTCTTCAACGACGTACTAATTTCATATTCCTCTGTTTTAATCAGTAACAGTAGTTTACCAAAAGGAAAAAAAAAATGTTAAAATGGCTACTTTCATCCCAGAAAAGTCACATATACCTACAGGTTTAATACGAGTTCGTATTTACAAACATTTCTTTTTCATAAAGTTAACCTAACTTGATATTTAGAAGTGCCACTTTCTATAACTGTTACACAAGGTTATATTTTGTCTATTATTCTGAAATGAGGATACATTCATAATCATTACTTTTTGATAATCTTTCAGTTCTAGTATATAGTTACTTTCATATGTTGTGTGTACTTTTTCAAGCGTACATTTTTTTCTTCCGTGCTGTTCTGGTTGAATGCATACAACGGACTTTCCCATGGCTAGCTGAGCTTTATATTACAGAATAAGGGAACAAACAAGTTCCATCTTGTCGTCACATCTCATCTAGCTATTAAGATTTGCCTCACCATTTCCTCCCGCTCTTTGTGGATATTTTCTAGCGTGAGATAATTATGTTGAAGGGCAAGCAAATGCGAGCATTTTTTGTTTTTGCAGTAACACAGGCTAGATCACCTGGCGCTGAAATTGTTAAAAAATATAAGTGGATCTTTATGATATCTTAAGCATTTCAAGCTAAACGTACCGAGGACAAAATAATAATTCTTTTCACAACCACCAGGCAGTTTTCTTCCAAAATTACCCATAATCGCGTGAGAAACAAATTTGCTGGGTGTACCTTACCGAGAACATTCTAGTGTCGGGTAGACGGTTTCTATAACTTGTTTATAGGTCACCCTTTGGAATTACATAGTGTCTGCTCAACTAGTGCCGAGTTGCAAGTTACCAGGATCTAGTCTCGTAATAATCCGAATAAAAATAAGTGGCTCAAGTCTTTATCGAAGATTCATAAAGTGATTAGTTATGTGTAAGGAAAGGTTATGATCTCGTAAGAAACAGCGGAAATGTCTCGGGTATTCTTTATCTGCAAGAGTGTGGGAACGAAAACCTCCTTTAATTAACGCTGTTGGGAATTACTGGCTCCGAACATCCGCAATACTACATGTGCTGTCAGAAATTCTAGAATAGGTAGTTTATCAGCAAAGTGTTCTGATAACTTTAATTGAAACTTACCATATATATATAATATTTACATGGAACAAAGCAACTTAATCTTCATATAGGGTTGTGCGTGGCCGATTATTAGCATGCTCGGATTGTGAATCAGTGTGTTCATGTTCGCGGCCCATTGTTGCAGCAAACGCGCTCCGAATCTGGGGGCCATGAGTACTATAAGAGTGACAATCGAATCTCACTATTCTGTCAGACAAGGATAGCCAATGAATTGGTGGTGGATATTTTTGCTAGCTGTCTTCCTCTAGTCTATCATTTCAATATCAGTATGGCTATGCGGAGATAGCCTTTTGTGCGAAAATTTTGAAATAAAACAAACAAAACTCTTCGTATGATTATGTGGAAGGAGCAAAATGTTAGATTAATCGCTAGAATAATAGAGAAGGTCTGATTCACGTATTGGATCAATATTTTTGTTTTGTGTCTTTGTTGGTTAAGCACAAAGCTGCATAATGGGCTATCTGTGCTGTGCTCACTGCGGAGACCAAACCATGAAGTTTAGCGTTATAAGCCCTCAAGTTTACCACTGAGCCACCGTGGAGTACATAGATTCATTCGTCTTGCTTGAGTTTGTTGTCAGTCTATCAATTAACAAATAGTGCTTACATAAACTTTCGTTATTTTTTATGACATCTTTTCTCTTATAGAAAGCATTAAGAAGTTAACTTTTTTCTCTTTTAGATGATTATTATGCAGTTTTTGTTGTACGAAGACGGAAACCTACGTTATCAGATAAACTAAATACAAAAATAGTAAACATAGTTTAGAATTATACAAAGTATTATAAAATATTTTATAAACTTATTGAACTTTATGAAAGAAATTCATACAAGTCCAGAGATTTTATGGAAAAATGTGAAAGTAAATGATTTGATCTCATTTATTAAACTTGAGTAAATAAATAACCTCTTTCAGAAGACTGTCTAGTAATCAGTGGACTCGATGTGAATCAAGAACTATTTTTTTTGTAATTTCATATTTCACGAAATGTTTGTTTCTTGCGTATAGTTTTATCCTACGATGATATAATAAGTAATGAAATAATGCCTGATTTTATTTTTCAGTTGCCATTTACACAAATCGGAACATTGAATGCCATTCACTTGTATTCAAGACTACGTGGAGGAGAACTTCAAACTGCAGTCACCATAGGGTCTAAAATTTTATGGCGGGTATTCCATAATAGGTAATCAGGGCTATATAAAATTTTAAATCACTCAAGTTGTTTATAATTTGATTTATTAAACTCTAAATAGAACTTATGATACTGTTTTATTGCATGTGATTATATCAGAGTAAGCGCCCTCTAGTGTCACGATGTATAACTAATTTAGTATTCCACAAAAGTAATTATTGTTTCTATATAAAATATGTTCTTAATGAAGACTTAGATATTTTTTCTATAATATGCTGCAAAAGTGTATTCTCCAATTATGTTTTTGATACTAAAATGGAAAAATGTTTTATTTAATGTCAAATTATATTATGTATATCATGTGGCTAGGCATGACCTGTTGGGTTGCATGTCAGACTGTAAATATGAGAGTCCATGGTTTGCATCCCCTTGCTACAAAATTGCTTTCCAAATTTTGAATTTGTGAGTATGTTATAATGGTAACAGTCAAATCCCAATATATTATTAGGGTAGTCCAAGAGTTGGTGGTTGGTGTTGTTGACTAACTGCATTCCCTTTAGTCTAGTTTATTAGTTCAAAATTATGGAAGGCTTGTACAGATAACTTTAATATAAGTGACAAACAATCTACAGTGGTGGAAAAAATTATTGCACACCCAATTTTTTTCATACTTTTCTTGATTCCTGAATTTTTTTCTGAAATTGTGCATTGTGAAAGTGTCAGAACTAGTGTAAAACAGTTATGGACATTGTGTGATGTAAGCAGAATCATAGTTCAGTCATCGAAACAAATATGCATTTTTATTAACAAACCAACTGCGACAAACATATAACAGCAGATGATCAACAAGTACTTGTCAAATATGAAAATGTTCTCTGAGTTAAAACCTAGATTTAAAGATACTGGCACTAATGTAATTGACAAAAAGTGCCACATCTAACCTTGATAACTTCTTGGCAAAGAGTGCATTAGGGATGGAATGTAGGCAGGGGTGAGTTTATGATGCAACACAGGGATTAGGGCTTCCTGCAGTTCCAAGGTGCTTCTTGGTTTTTCTTTTGTACTTTGTTACCCATTATATTCCAGCAGTTTGCAATAGGGTTGAGATCAGGGCTGAATATTACCAACCATTTTATTCCTGTGGCATAGAGCAGAGCCACCCTAGAATGTGCAGTGGTCAGCTACACCAAAGTGATCTTGAATTGTTGGCTTTAACTCGGACTCAAGGATCTTTGCCTTTCCCAAAATGCAGGTGCCCACACCATGGCCAGAGATGCATCCCAATATCACTTGACCCTACAGATGTTTTGCAGTTGTATTCAAACATGCTGGATGAAACTCTTCTCCACATTAATGTCATACAAAGTTTTTCCCAACAGACCTGTGCACTTTAACTTTGATTCATCTGAAAATACCATATTGCTTCAGTCTAGTCAGCATGCTCTTTGGCTCAGCTGAGCCTCATCTTCTTTATCTTGTTGGTGAGGAGAGGTTTCTTTCTTTGCCATCTTGTTGGGAGACCAGCTGAACACAGGCAAGACCAGAAGGTGCACATGGTGACCGTGGCCCCCAAATTTCCTGCCATGTTCTTTTGAGATCTGGGTATAACAGTTGATGATTCTGCAGGCTCGTGTTTTTGAGAACATAATTGTTAGTGGAAGCTGTCATTCTACCCCTTTCCAATAGCCAGTTTTTCTATATCTCTGCACCCAGTGGCTCATAGTAGACTGGTTAAATTTAATTCTTCTAGCAATCTGCCTTGTTAAAAGTTTCTCTGTGTTCAAAAAACAATGACTGCTTTTTTACATAGAGTTAACACGCAACTCTTGGCCATGGTAGCATCACATGCACATTGTAGCAGATAAGCTTTTAAGCTGACTTACAGTAAGGACCTCTATTTATAGCCTAAAAACAGCTGATGCAATACCCAGACAGTCTATAAAGCTGCTGATGTAATGATTAAGACATTATTGTATTATGCATGAAACACATTTGTACCTACATGCATTAGGGCCTCAAAACAGGCAATGATTTTGGAGAAAAGTGTGAAAAAATTGAGTGATGCAATAAATTTTTCCACCACTGTATATCTATGTGTGGTAATGATTCAAGCTATTCATTTTAAATATAATAGAATTAAATATCAAGACACTACCAGACTCTGATAAAAAAAGAATATAAGCAACAATTTACTATGATATAAGTTCACTACAAGTGTCTAGCTTATGACTATGTGAAGTTAGCATAGAAACTACTGACATATGTACATTTAACTTTTCGTATTGTCTAGTGAATATTATTGATGTCTTTAAATCAAAGTGTATATTGTTCAGTGGGTTTTGCCTTTTTCAATGAAATGCAAGTTAGAATAGTAAAGAAGTTTCTCACTTTACTATGAGATTGAAGAACAAAAAATTTACCATCTTTAGTTCTTATTTTCAACAGTAATAGTTGGAAATGCTAAGCAGCAGAAGGATAAGTGGATAATATGAAAAACAAACTTTTAGTTAGCAAATAGCCAAAATTTTGTTAAAATTTGGAGAATACATATAACATCACTTTAACTGCTACACAGATGAGGAAGCTTACATTTCATTTTATTGTTAGAGTTTGTATAATTAATGCTGATACTGAGTAATTTCAATTTATTGTAGTTCAAAATTTTCTAAAAATTTCATATGCTTGTATAAACTTTTTTTTTTACAAAAATCACAAGATAAAGTTTCACTTATCTTAAATTTTGAAATCATCAGTGATGTTTTTAAGGTCTTTTTACTGATGCTCAGGTAAAATCTATATATGTGTGTGAGCTCTTCATATTGATACTTTGTTGATTTTAGCAGATTTTTGGATATCCTATGATAGTTTCTTGTTGTTGGTGTTTTCATTTTACTTTATATATATCCTTCTCTTTCAGTTTTCTGTGATTTTTCAAAGTAATTATTAATAGTTTCAAGATATTGATGTATTTATTTATATTTCAGTATTATTTTAATTATTGCCACAAGTGAAGATGCTACAAGTGACAGTCATCTTTTTCACTTACTGGACAATATCTTTGCTGCTATGGTGATGATGGTTGGGATGGACAGTTTACAGAACATTCGCAATGTAGATCACTTAAAGCGAGAACTGAGGGTAAATATTATGAAATGTTACCAAAAACACATAACTGGTTGTAGTTAGTGATTGTGATTGCTAAATTGATTATGGATTTCAATCTTACTACTTAAATCAGGGATTTCCAAACTTTCCCAACTCACAATCTACTGGGCTGGTCACTGGGAGAGGATTACTGTTATGCATTTCAGTAAAGTCTAATAGTGTCTTCATAAGTAATGTAAAAATATAGCTGTCTTTATATTTTAATATATTTTGTTTTGCAACCTACACCACTACCTCTTTCAACCCAAAGTTTAGGAACCATCTACATTAATATTAGACCATAATAGAGACATTTTTTGACAGTAAAGTCATACATCTTCCAAAGACTGAGTTTGTTCTTTTCAGTAAAAGCAAAGTTAACTTGCTGGAATTAACAAATTTATATGAAAGATAAACAATTGCTATTTTATTACACTGTAAATATTATCATGAACCACAATAGCAGTTTATAATAGGGGTTGCTAGAAGTTGCACAAAACCTTAATAAAACGTTTGGGCAAAAAGCACCTTAAACTGTAAAGATTCAGTTCAAAAAAACACTTTAAAACCTTTACTATTGACTGCTAAGGCCATACACATATAAAATGCACAAAATAAGGTATTGTGAAGGTTGTAGTGGTATTGAAAAGTCAATTTGTTTCTTCTATGTTTTACATAAGCTAAAAAACACCATAATTCTAGTGTAAATGATGTCATCATTACCCCTTGAAGTTAGCTTTCTTACAAATATATGGTGTACCATTACAAAGCTTAAGTATATGGTGAAACAGGAATTACCAGCCAATAATAGATGAACATTAGATGACTGTAACATATAGATACTCAATGCTTTGTACATTATACAATCATTGTCTTTAGGGAGCCAACTCTTATATGATTTATGAAGTGTAGGAGTAAAAAAAAATCAATACACATAAAATTAAATTTTATTACACATATTCTATTACACATAGAATAATTACCTTAAAAGACAAAGGTTTATTTAAAGTGATGTTTTGGACATATGTTTTATTTGAAAAGGCTGCTTTTCTACTGGTAGAATTTTATATGCATTTAGTGGGAGTTGTGTCTTAGTCTAGGCATATATTTGCCCATTACTATGCATTATATATAGAGAATTTAATTACACAGAAACTGTAAATGCTCACTTTGTTATCAAACAAATCTCCATGACAATCTCCAGCTGCAATTTAACATTTTACATTTCAAACTAATGTGATAAAATAATCAATAGCTACAATAAATCATCACGAACGGTATTAGCTATCTACTAGTTATGATATTATCATTACAATGGATAAAGTTAGCTACCATATCAAGTAATCTGTTGTCCATAGTTGAGCATAAAAAAAGCCAGTAAACAAGATAAATAAAAAATTGGGAATTTAAAAACCTGCAAATAGGGATTGTAAAAAAAAAAAGTAACAAAACAAGGCTGGAGATACTGTAGACATTATTTATTCAAACTACAAATCCCTATTTTGACTCCACTAGATCCAATTCTAGGTAATAAAATGGAGCCAGAATAGGGGTTTAGTTGAATAAATAATGTCTACAGTATCTCCAGCCTTGTTTTCTTACATTGTTGTGATCTTTATTTGCAGGTTTTTATATTCCTAATTTTTATTTATCTTGTCAATATTGTATGTTGTGATTGATTTCTAATGAAGACTACATCAAGTGGACACTGGCATTTATGTAATACCTTTTAAGATTAAAAAAGTGTTTGTGTTTTTATTTATGAATAAAAGACAAGTAACACAATACTGTTTATAAGACAATAAGACATTATTATGTACTGTCAGAGGATGCTGATAATTTTAGCTTCTTCATACATTTATCATGATTTTTCACTGTCAATGAATGTGATATTTTGAGTGTTGTGAAAATATTTTTTAAAATTCTTTATCAGATATGCTTCTTTCTTGTTGACCACCTTCTTCAACAGCTTGACCAAGACATGGCAACTGTTAGCGACCTCACAGGAACAGTAGACTGCTTACTGTGTACTGAAAGTCCCACACTACAGGTAGTGTGTAATTAACATAAAACTTTTTCCTGTAGTGTATCATATTTTAAAGAGGGATTATCAAGAGCATGAAGGGTAAAGTTATATGATTTTAAGAGCTTTTGTACAGTTTTTCTTTTCAAAAGTGTAGAAAGTTTGTAACGATAACCTTATTACTTCCCTAATCACCAATTGTGTTCATATCAGGTTAGTTAACTTTGAACTTTCTAGCTTTATGTTTGCAAACATCAAGTGTGTTGTTATGTTATAAAGCTACAACTGAACCATAGATATTTATACAGTTGGTGTATTGTTATTCATTGTCTAAAATAATTAAAGATAAGTGGTTTGTTAGTGTTGTTGCAATGTTAGTCATCAATCAGAATAGTCAAAATATGTGTTTTAGTAGTTTGCTGTACTGTTAACATACAGTTATCTTTAAGGTACAAACTACTTAGTTGAGCCTGAACAAGTTATTGCACAGGACAGATTTCATGGGAATTTAAGTTTTAACAGGAAATACTTCTATTGTTGACAATCTTGTAGTTTGAAGGTTTTATTTAAAAGAAAAATTACAAAGTAAAAAAACTTGTGTCATGTTTTTAATTGTAATTATGAATCAGAGTCTCAGCTACAGGTCTGCTCAGCTATATTATACATTCAACTAGTTGAAACTAAGAGTAAGAAACCTGCTTAGATTCTGTAGCTGTAAAAAACTGTTAAAACCATAGGTGAAAATGTATAACAATTTACAACTGCCATATTTAAAAGTAAATAATTTACAAGTTGAAACTCTTTTAATTTATAGAATATATAACAATAAAACTGTCAATTACAGAAAAAATATCTGTAGGTTACTAAACTATGAATGCTTAGTATTTCAGTGTGTATGATAAGAGTTTTTTTGTTAATGATAAAAAGTATAAAACACTGAAGGTCAATCTTCGGTGTTAGAGATGTTTACACGTTGAAAAAGCAAAGATTCTCTGTTGAATACAGGTCTTGTAAAACTGTATTTGACTAAAGTATGTTTAGGCAAAATGTTTTGTTTTTTCATATAAAATTGCTCATTTATGGTGTTTTACTATTATGCCACAGAACTACCTCACTACATTTGTGAATCTAGCCAACACTGCTTATGGCTGCTTAATGGTGAGAGGAAAGGTTGCTGTGGCAACAAAAAAATGGTGGTCTCTGACAGGTCAAGAGATGGCACTACTCTCTGCATTTGTGAATACTTATCCAAAGACAACCTCTAGAGAAGTCTCCATTTACCTCCCAAACAGTTGTCCAATGGTAAAGTTGCCCGAGTACTTTGGATGTATTTTTAAGTCAACTTAGACAAATGTTTTGTTTTTGTTAATTTCTGCTTTTGTGTTTTACTGTACATAATTATAATCTAATGGGTTTGTAATAGATTAGTGACTACAACTAATTTGTGTGTTGAAAAGTATTAGAAACCATAATGAATGACACATATATATGAAGATATAAGACATGCTTTGTGACTGATATGTACTTATAACTTGACAGGTATGTAACAGGCTTGTTACTTTGCAACTAACTCAAGGAGTAGAAGTCTGTGTGCTATGTGGACCAGTGCCTTCTTTAAATCAGCTTGAAGAAGATGTAGGTTCAGGATTTTTATACAATTTTATTTCTCATTTACACTTGTTAATGGTTAATTTGCTAAATACATGTACAAAAGTGATCAGGAAAAATAATGATAGTTATAGATTAGTATTTTATCAGGCAGAAACTGGAGTAATTAGAAATAGAAACATCCTGGCAACAACTGTAAGCATATTTATTAAGTGAATGTTTTAAAATATACAAAATCCATCATCAACAATCTGTAACAATGTACGCTGAGAAAGATACATAATATATACAAACAAGTAAAAGTACAATTTTCATTAAAATTGAAACAGATAAAATATATAAAAAAACAAAGCTGAAAGGTCTTGAAATATGACATTAATATTTAAAAGAATTTACAGAAGATTTAAATATGCATATATAAAAAAGTTGTTTATGTAAAATATAGTTTAAATGAACTGCAGTTGTTGTTTAAAATTGGGTACTCAGTCAATACCAGTAAATCTTTGAAGACTGGTTTGTGAATGGATAAAACTGAGGTTAGCAGACATGGAGTATTCATATTCAGTATTAGTATTCGATGCATTCAGATACAGCTTTGGGAACATTTGTACTTGTATTTGAATACTTTGTTAGGAAAAATTAAAGTATTCATATTTGCTTAATGATTTAGTGAATACATAATATTATCAGAATAAATATACAATTTTTAGACTCATTATTACATCTGCAGCACAAAGCTTCTACTGTAAGAGAAAGTAACATTTTTCTGTACAGAATACATTGTACTATAATATGTTATATGGTAGATGAAAATCTTGGCTTTCTGTTGGTTATAAATAATTTAATATTGAATGTCAGAGAGAACTATTGACAAATCATGAAAGAGAGGATATGACAGGTGGGTCTGGCAAGATGGGTCTGATTTTCTATTTGATGGCTATGTAACCCAAAAAAAATTGAATGGTACGAAAATTATGCTTTGCCTGAGCAATGTTAACATTATAACGAGTAATTTATGTTAAATTTCGTACTTCTTGGAGGGGTGGTAAATATATTAGAGAAGAGGAGATGCCTAGAGAAAAAAGTCACATTTCTCACACTAGGGGAAATTCAGGATTTTTTTAAATATTGCCTTATAAATTAAGAACTTAAAATTTATATACTATTAAAATATGGATTATTAGCTATGATTTTATGCTATACTAATTGGTATAACATGAACTAAAAGTAGTTTAATTAAATTTTGAATGTAACTTACTAAAACATTGTGACATGCACAGTAGAGGATGCTCATGGCAAGAGGGTTAAATCAGGTCAGTACTCTCCAACCACCTTAAAATTTATGGCATTACATGGTTATTTATCCAATCAAGTCACTTGTGAGAATTTGAGATTGATACTAAACTGTCTTCAATAGTACATGAACACTTCATACTTCATACTGCTAGATCTGATCACATCAAGGCAAAGTGTAAATATTGTGAGTGGACTTTTTCTACTTCACGAAAAACCACTTCTAACCTGCTGACACATCTGAAGGTAAGCTTTTTTATTATTTTTGTTAATATGAACTATATTCTATGTAAATTATCCAATATAGTATAGGTAAAATAAATTTTTCACGCATTTTAAACTACATTTTTTATTATTTTCATTTATTTAGTATTATATTTTTGTATTATTCTCATTTATTTAGTATTATATGTTTGTATTATTTTCATTTATTTAGTATTATATGTTTGAATTAGTTTCATTTATTTAGTATTATATGTTTGTATTATTTTCATTTATTTAGTATTATATGTTTGTATTATTTTCATTTATTTAGTATTGTATGTTTTATTATTTTCATTATAAACGATATTCTATATTATATAACTAAGATATTTATTTATTATATTTTGTTATTTATTTTTTATTATTAAACTGTATTCTGTAGATATACTTAATTTCTCATGTTTTGAACTATATTGATCATTTTATTTATTATTATATTTTTTTATTATGAACTATATTATATAACTGAGGTACACTTTTGAATTTCTAGCATAATCATGAGGCAAGAGCTACAGAAGTCTACATCTGGCTCTGGTACTTCCGCTCAGGTGGAGCAGCCTACAATAGTAGCGTACTGTACAGAATTAACTAATTATAAGTCTACACACCCTCGTCAGAAGCACGTCACTAACAAAACTTGTCAGTTTTATTGCTGGTACACTGCAACCCTTCCCAGTGCTGGAGTCAAAAATTTTCAAGATATAATGGCAGCCATAGATTCTCTGTATATTCTTCCCAGTCACAAGCATCTGTCCACAATGTTGATTGAAAGCAGATTTGATGAATTCCAACAAAAAGTCATCTCTCTACTGCAACTTGTATCCAACATCAATGTCAGTGTGTATATCTGGAGTAGCAGACAAATGTGCAGCTTTCTTGGTATCATTGGTCATTTTATATTTTGCTGGAAAATGCAAGGAACATCACACATATGATAATATTGCAGTTCAATATGATAAAATAATAAATTTCTTTAACATCAACAACAAGATGTCATATGTGACATCTGATAATGCATTCAACATGATCAAGGCTTTCTGCTTGCCTGGGTTTGAACCACAAACACTACCTAGATGGTGATAGCTCATCTACAGATAGTGAACTTTTGGATGTATCTAAATCAGCAGACAATTTATCTGAATTTCTTCCTAACATGACTCTTGCTTTTCCCCCACACACTACAGTTTGTAGTCAGGAATGGCATGAAAAAAGATGAACCACTGCTGAAAGTAATTTCCAAAGCATCAGCCATCGTGTTCCACAATCAAAAATCAATGCAAGCAACTGAGGTAGTTGAGGGAGAGGCCTGAATTCAGTCAGTAACACTAACACAATGGAACTCGGAATGATTAAGTCTTTATTGAAGATTCCCCAGAAGCAGTTGGATAATCTAGATACTGGTACATCGAAACTGACTTTTCATGATCGAACTATGTTTGCAGATTTGGTGACAATACTGACATCTTTTGAAGAGGCAACAGATTTCTCCCAGGGTCAGAACATTGTTACCTTCAGTTATGTAATGTCATGTGTTTATTGACTGATGACTGAGGTTGACAGTATGCAGTCCAGATATAATTTCAATCTTCATTGAAGATATTTGTTTATGCCCAGCTGATTTGGTATGAGCAATGAAGTGGCATTGGATCCTAGATTTAAACTTGACTGGTGTTTCACTAGACTTATGGTCTATGATTCCAATGGATTGCTACTGCAGCAAGAAATCAAGAAAGTTTCCTCGACAAATAATCCTACAACCACAGAACCAAAAGAGGACAGTAAATCCCTCCCTCACAAAAGAAGTAAGCTCTTTAGTTTCTTTTCTGCCTCCAAGAAACCAGCTACCTCATCTTCAGAGGATACAGAGATCGAAAACTACCTCGATGGTTCTTTCATTGCAGAAGAAGGCAACCTTCTATATTATTGGAAGATCCATGAAAAGAACTTTCTTACCCTATCTCTGCTAGCTAAGTGCTACCTTAGTGTTCCAGCATCCTCTGGCCCTGTTGAGCATTTGTTTAGCATTGGAGGCAAAACTCTCAGACCTGATCACTGCCACCTCACTAACAAGACACTTGAGAGATTGATGTTCATAAAGAACAATGGACAGTTATTATATTTATAAGTCTCCTTTAAAAATGTGTTTTTTGCTCTAAAATGTTGTTTGTTTCAGTTTCTAAAAAGTTTGTTTCATAAAATAAAAGTATTGAAATCTTATCATCTGCTGTTTTATCATTATTGCATATTACCTGACTAAGTATTCATGAATACATTCCTATGTATTCATATTTGAATACTTAGCACTTTTCCTGTATTCATTGTTATATTCATAAAAATATGAATTATTTGTATTTGTAATCGATTACTGATCTCCACCATTCGCTCCATTCCAAGAGGTCAGAATTTTGAAATTATCAATGAAAGTAAAAGAGTTCCTGTTTGGCTGTGCATGTAAGTAGGAGAAGGACAAGGATTTAAAAAGTTGTTGACTAGTTCTTCTTGAGAGCCCCCAATATATTCATAACTATATATTTTTAATTGATGTTGTGTTTTGCTAATATAATTAGTTTTTTAGTAGCCACAGCTATATTGGTAGACAACCCATGAACATGGAGGAGTAGGCAGAAGATCTTTAGTCCAAAACACATTGTGAAGAAAACCTGTGAAACCTGTTCATAGTTTAATGCCTAGTTAGAAATACTTTATTAAGTTTTGAATTTAAGTTATAATGTGACTACCTAAAAAGGAAGGAGAAGAATTAATGGAAATTTTGAGAATATACTTGTGTGTGTGTGTGTGTTGGTTATGTATCATCCTCACAGTAGAATTTGTGTGTAGATTCCAAAGTATCTGTTTAAGAAATATGTTTACAGTTGTTGCTATGGTGTTCCTATTTTATAAGTGGATTACTGTTATGAAACATTGCATGTCACATTTACCACTTAGACAAACATCTCATTTATTAAGCTTTATTAATTACTTATCACTTAATGATGAGAATAATGCTCAGAGTTATAAGTACTTTGATTATAATACACACTAATTGAGATGAACTTGGCATTAGTTGTTTAAACATCTTTTTTCTTTAAAATGAGAAAAAACATTGTTTTTTTTTCTTTAATATTTACTATTAACAAATTTATTTTATTCTCAACTACAAGAGAAATTCAACAACCGATTACCGATTTTTTCGGTATTAAAATTATCCTGTGTGTATTTACTTGCTATGTGTATAGATCCCTAACTCAATAAGTTATTTTCTTGTAAATCAAGAATATTATAAGTTAATGCGAGCTACTACGAAAGAGTTGTGGGAGTTAAAATACGCTATACGCTTTCAATTTGTAGTGTATAAACATTGCCTTGTCAATACAAACAGAAGCTACTGTATCAGTATCAAAAGTTGCTGTCAATAAAAAAAAAAAGACTGCAATGTCAGTCAAAACATTGCTAAGTCCAACCAGACCCCAGTGAAAACACTGCAACGTACTTATTAACCCATCTCATTTGGCAATGTAGGGGTAAATTACGTCCCGAAAATAGTTTAGAAAGTTTCTTATTTTTATAGTATCATACAGTATTTTTATTTACTTGTTAAAAAAAGCCATAAAATTGAGTATACCTGTTCATGTTACGGTCTCATGCGCAGCAGTCATGTTAAACGTGCAAGAATATATTATGATACACAAAAACTTCGTTACAATGTTCCTTAAGCTGTGAATTGTTGAAAAATTTATCCTGCTTCTTTTATTAAACGGTGTTTAGTTTTACAATGATGTCGTCGTGTAAGAAACCACCCAGTACAATTTATTAAAATATCAGACTTTTTGAAGGTCTACATATTGATCACGCTATCTAAAAAATATCATAATCATATAATATAAAATAAAAATCTTATTTATCTAAAATAGTCTAACATTTTTGATAATATATACTGATAATCTTTTTTTATATTTCATCAAAAGATAATTTAACGCCTTTTTATAATCTTGTATAAGCCAGTAGATGCCAGTCTTATTTGAAAGCAACAAAAGGCTTGTAAAAATGTAAATGTAAAATTTTTTGCTTAATAAAATGTTACAATCGACCTGAATGTACAGGCTAAATAATCTGTCCGAGCTTAAGTCATTCCTAATTTAAAATTTTTCACCAGAGGAAGGATAACCAATCAGCAGCACCCGCCACCGACACGTTTCATCTTAACCAAATTGTGAAATTCATGATTATATCACCCCCCACAGAATGGGGCATATTACTTAGCATATCGTGGCTCTAACGTTGGGCCTTGCGATTCTCAGAGCGGCAAGCTAGTATCTAGTCACCAAAAACTCATAAAAACTTGCAAAATGTAGAACTTCATTTTTTTCATTGTTTCTTGAAAGACCCTTAGTTTTATGCACCAAGGAAAATGTTGTGATGATTTTGTTACTATTAAAAACAGTGGGACATTAACAAGTCTAGACTTTCTATCGCACATGCTACGCCGTTTTCTTGTATTCATAACAAATGAAACACTACTCAAAACATTTTCTCGTCATTTCTAATATGACTATACTTTCACATTCACAGTACTGTTTGGCTCTACACATCCGAGTGTTTAAACTTTAGACATCATTGAAACTCACCCACTGAACAATTATAATAAATAAATAATTCCCATGCGTTCAGCTTTAGCATCACAGTATTATTTAAGTTTCTATACACATACAGAATACAAAGAATATTTTTTTTTACAATATAAAATTCCATATATCGTCAAGACTAATATTTATACACCACCTGTGTCTATACAGACAAAAAAGAACAATTAAAAACACATATATATTATTTTTTAACTGTTCTGTTTAAAAGTTTTTGGTTAGTGTTTCAAGTTTGTTTTTTTTTTCTTTGTGCAAAGCTACACAATAGACTCTATGCACTCTGTCCACCACGGGGAATCGAGCCCCAGATTTTAGCGTAATAAATATGTGAACTTACCAAGTTACAAGTTATATTTCTAATTTTTTATAATATTAATTATGTCGTGTAATTCCTTCTTATCCATTCATACTAAACCAATTCACGAACTGAAATACTGCTGTAATTAGATTCGATATCTGACTCATTACTTTTCCCAATATCTTTCATTCAACCCAGGTATCAAGTCTTTAATTATCATACTACTATGTTTTATTTTGAGGTGTATACATCAGTTTAGCAGTTCCACGGATCTCCATAGAATAAAAACAGAGACATTTTTTCTAGAATGAATCATTGTGGGGTCCCAAAACATTACGGAATCGAGAAAGTTTTGGGTCTCTCATGTTTCACTAAACCGGCTTATTTAAAATATCGTTCAAATCTATAATATAAATTCATGTCTTTGACATTTTAAAATTAAAACGCCAATATGGGGTTAAATGAGTTTGGAGGGCTCTTAGAACTGGATCCATGGAATTACGTGAGAAATTGACAAGGATATCTAAATAGTCGTTAAATAAACAACAATTTACATATATATCTTGATTGATTTTCTTTTAAATTTTGCCCTCCATAAGGAGGTCAAGGTAGTAATTATGGTCTCTCCGGACTGGCCACACAGATTTACTTGAA